AAATGAAAACTCTAAATAGACAGATTAGCAGCAGGAAAATTGAAATAACCATTAAAAACCTCCCCCCCAAAAAAGTCCAGAACCAGATGGCTTCACCAGTGAATTCTACCAAATATTCAAAGAAGACTGAAAACCTATCTTTCTCAAACTCTTCCATAAAATTGAAGAAGAGGCATTACTTCCTAATACATTTTATGAGGCCAATATAATCCTGCTACCAAAACCTGGCAAGGACAACACAAAAAAAGAAAACTACAGACCAATATCTCTGATGAATTCAGGTGCAAAAATCCTAAACAAAATACTAGCAAATGGAACACAGCAGTACATAAAAAAAATAGTATATCACGATCAAGCGGGCTTCATTCCAGGGGCTCAAGGATGGTTCAGCATACACAAATCAATCAATGTGATACACCACGTTAGCAAAAGAAAGGATAAAAATCATACTATCTAATCAATAGATGCAGAGAAAGCATTTGGTAAGATACAACATCCATTTGTGATTAAAACACTCAATAAAATAGAAATTGAAGGAAAGTACCTCAACATAATAAAGGCCATACATGATAAACCCTCAGCTAATATCATACGCAATAGTGAAAAACTGAAAGCTTTTCCTCTAATATCAGGAATAAGACAAGGATGTCCACTCTCAGCACTCTTATCTAATGTAGTCCTGGAAAGTCCTAGCCAGAGCAATAAGGAAAGAGGAAGAAATAACCTTCCTAGACTAAAGGCATCCAAATTGAGAAGGAAGAAGCAAAAATGTCACTTTTTGTGGATAATGACTCTGTATATAGAAAACCCTAAAGACTCCACCAAAAAACTATTAGAAACAATAAACAACTAGAGTAAAGTTGCAGGACTCAAAATCAACGTAAAAAATCCATTGCCTTCCTATATACTAACAACAAAACTTCAGAAGAAGAAATGAAAAAACCAATTCTTTTGGCAATTGCAACCAAAAGAATAAAATACCTAGGAATAAACTTTACAGAGAACGTGAAAGACCTGTATACTGAAAACTACAAAGCATTATTAAAAGAGATTGAAAAAGACACAAAATGGAAAAATATCCCATGTTCATGGATTGGAAGAATCAACATAGTTAAAATGGCCATATTACCCAAAGCAATACACAGATTTAATGCAATCCCCATCAAAATCCCAATGTCATTTTTAAAAGAAATAGAAGGAGAAATCATCAGATTTGTATGGAACCACAAAAGACCTCAAATAGCCAAAGCAATCATGAGAAAAAGGAAGGAAGCTGCAGGTACCATGCTACCTGATTTCAGATGATAGTGCAGAGTTATGATAATCAAACCAGCATGGTATTGGCCGAGAAATAGACACACAGATGAGCAGAGCAGAATGGAGAGCCCACATATAAAACCACATTTATATGGGCAGATAATTTTCAACCAAGTAACCAGAAACACACAATGGAATAAAGACAGTCTCTTCAATACATGGTGCTGGGAAAACTGGAAAGGCACATGCAAAAGAATGAAACTGGATTACAGTTTGTCCTCGTGTACAAAAATTAACACAAAATGGATCAAAGACCTAAATGTGAAACCTGAAGCAATAAGTTACGTAGAAGAAAACATAGGTACCAAACTTACGGACCTTGGTTGTAGAGAACATTTTATGAACTTGACCCAAAGGCAGGGAAGTAAAGTAAAAAATAAATGAGTGGGACTATATCAAACTGAAAAACTTCTGCACAGCAAAAGAAACTGACAACAAAACAAAGAGGCAGCCAACCAGATGGGAGATGATATTTGCAAACAGTAGCTCCGACAAAGGTTTAATTTCCAAAATATATAAAGAACTCATAAACCTCAACACCAAACAAACAAACAACCCAAATCAAATAGCAGGCAGAGGACCTGAACAGACACCTCCCCCAAGAAGACATACAAACAGCCAGTAGATATATGAAAAGATGTCCAATCTCACTAGCAATTAGGGAAATGAAAATCGAAACTACAATGAGACACCACCTCACACCTGTTAGAGTGGCTGTGATCAATAAGACAAGTAATAACAAGTGTTGGAGAGGCTGTGGAGAAAAGGGAACCCTCATTCACTGCTGGTGGGAATGTAGACTGGTACAGCCACTATGGAAAGCAGACTGGTGATTCCTCAACAATTTAATAATAGATCTACCATACAACCTAGCAATCCCTCTCCTGGGTATATACGAGAAAAACTCAAAAACATGTATTCACAAAAATATACGCACCCCTATGTTCACTGCAGCATTATTCATGGTGGCCAAGACATGGAAACATCCAAAGTGTGCTGCAATAGAGGACTGGGACATGTTCACAATGGAACACTACTCCGCCATAAGAAAGGATGGAATACTGCCATTTGCAATAACATTGGTGGACCCTGAGAATATTATGCCATGTGAAATAGTCAGTCAGGAAAAGCTAAGACCCATATAATTTCACTCATATGTGGGATATAAAACTGAAACTCATGGACACAAACAGCAGTGTGGTGGTTGCAAGAGGGAAGGGGGTGGAAGGTTAAGGCATTCCTAATATATGGTGATGGGAGAAGATATGATTTTGGGTGGTGGGTACACAGAGCAATATACAGATCTTATAACATAGAAACCCACACCTAAAACCTGTATGTTCATATTAACCACTGTCATCCCAATAAGTTTAATAATAAAAAAGAAACATCATCATCAAAGTGCATAAAACCACTACTAAAGAAACACCTTAAAACCTTCCAGGATGAAAGAATTGTACATACAAGGGAAAAAGAGACACAAATTAAAGCAGAGATTTCATTGGAAACAATGCCTGCGAATAGACAGTGCAGCAACATCTTTAACTAACATTTTATGTCCAGTGACAATATCTTTCAAAAGCAAAGATGAAAGCTGTTTTAGACACAGAAAATCTAAAGAAATTAATCACTAGTATACTTGCACTAAAATAAAAAGGTCAAAGCAAGTCTCAGAGGTAGAAGGAAAATTATACCAGATGGAAATCTAGATATAAACAAAGAAATGGAGAACACTGGAATTATTATGTATAATGGTAATTATATATCACATTCTCTTCAATTTCCTTAAAGTATAACTGAAAAATCAAGCACAATGGCAACAAACTACTGCAGGCTCTACAATATATGCGTAAGTAAAATGTACAATGAAAAAAGCATGGTTCTTACGCTCTACGTGAAATGGTTCCATTTGAAGGAAGACTGATAAATTAAAGTTGTATAATGTATCAAAGATAAACCAGTTAAATACCAAAACAGAAAGTTATAGAGTAAATACCAAGAAAGGGAGATACAATGGAATCTCAGAAATATCCTAAGAATCCTAAAGCACCAATCAGAAAGAATCTATGCACCCCGACGTTCACAGCAGTGCAGTTTACAACGGCTAAGATCTGGAAACAGCCCAAGTGCCTATCAGTAGGTGAGCGGATAAAAAAGCTGTGGGACATTCACACCATGGAATACTACGCAGCTGTCATGAAGAAGGATCTCGTACCCTTTGGGACAGTATGGAGGGACCTGGAGAGCATTATGCTAAGTAAATAAGCCAGGCAGCGAAAGACAAATATCACCCGATCTGGTTTATCTGTGGAATCTAAAGAACATAATAAACTGATGAACATAAAGGATTCAATGACATGGAAGCATGGAACAGCATGAGGGATCTCAGAGGGAAGGAGGGGAGTGGGTGGGGGGTAGCGATCAACCAAAGAACTTTTCCTTTAAAAGTCTGGGCAAGGTAGAGCGAGGTCAGTCTTTGGAATTTCGTTTCTTCTGATTACTGCACTTGAACAGTAGCATTTAATATGAATGTGGCACACAGGCTTACGATGCTCCCAATGATTCTGGTGTTTTAGTATTCACAATCTGGTATAATCTCATCCTCTAGAGTGTGGGCTAACCCAGTGATTGATTCTCTTTTAACGAACAGAAGGTAGAGTGACGGTTTTCAGTTCCAAGATGAAGTTATGAAGAGACTGTGGGTTTTGTCGTGCAGGCCTTTCTCTCTCTTGGCTCACTTGCTTGGAAGGAAACCAGCTGCCATGTCTGCACTACCTAATGGAGAGACTCACATGGGAAAAAATGATGTCTCCAACCAAGAGCCAGCAAGGACCTGACACTACAGCTACACAAGTGAGCTCAGAAGGGTATCCTTGCCCTGCCCCAGCCATGGGAGACTGCAGCCTCAGTTTACACCTCGATCAAAGCCTTATGAGACTCAGTGAGCCTAAGGACCCCGCTAAGCTGCAACAAGATTTCTAACCCACAGTAATTATAATATAATAAATATATATGCACAACCCATGGACACAGACAATAGTGTGGTGAAGGCCTGAGGCAAGGAGTGGGTGTGGGGTGGAAGGGGTCAATGGGGAAAAAAGGGGACATCTGTAATACTTTCAAGAATAAAGATAAATTTAAAAAAAATAGAGGCGAACAAAGAATATATGGTAGAAACAGAAATCAAATAGATGGTAAATTATAACCATACCAATAATATAAATAATCACATTAAATGTAAATGCCTGAAATACAAAATAATATGAAATGTAAACTGTAACACAAAAATAAAAAAAAAGTAAGTGGCCTGAACACCTCAATTAAAAAGCAGCAATTACCACATTGAATAAAGAACGTGCACTAAAGAGCATGAAAAATGTCTTTCGATTATAAAGACATAAATAGGTAAATAGTAAAAGAATGGGAAAAATATAGCAGGCAAATATGAATTAAAGAGGAGCAGAGTAACCAGTCTCACCTGTGGACCCTGGCACCTTGTCCAACCATATGTGGAGTCTGGCACCAGGACTGCCTGCCTGGGGATGCGAGTATCTGACCCACACATGGATCCTACTAGCTTATTTTCGGATGCTGCCATGTGGCCTGTCCCTGGTCCCCACCAACTGGCCTTCCCAGGACCTCTGGGCACGCAATAATAAATGGCTTTCCCTTTGAAATAATACCTTGTGCAAATGTTCAATCTGGATACCTGCCAACAAGCTAGTTGATTCAGCCTCAAAATATTTGCTTGGAGTTCTTCCACAGCCTTTCATTTCTTCCTTTGTCCTTATAATTTTTGGTCGGCCATACCAGTATGAGCGCTACAAAGAAAGCCACAATGTAATTATCAAAATAAACATTAAGAAATGAAGCACTCCATTTGAACAGACCTATATAACAAATAAAGCAAATGAATCGGTGATCAAAACCTCCCTGTAAAGAAAAGTCCAGGACCAGATGGCTTCACTGGTGAATTGTACCAAACATTTAAACAAGATTAACAACAATTTCTCCAAGCCTTCCAAAAATATACGAGGAGGAAGCATTTTCTAACTCATTCTGTGAGCTCAGTATTACTCTGACACCAAAGCCAGGCAAAAACATTCTGAAGAAAGAAACTAGCGACCAATATACCTTATGAATATAGGTGAAAAAATCTTCAACCAAATGCTAGCAAAACTGAATCCAACAGCATATCAAAAGGCTTATCACGATCAAGTGGGAATTATCCCAGGAATGCAGTGATGGTTCAACATATGAAAACTAATCAATGCAATGTATTACATTAATAAAACAAATGGGATAAACTACATAATCTTTTTAGTTGATGCAAAAACAAACAAAGCCTTTGACAAAGTGTTTCATAATCAAAATACTCAGAAAACTAGAAATAGAAGAAAACTTTCTCAAAATGACAAAGGGCATATGTGAAAAGTCCACAGCTAACATCATACTAAATGGTGAAACACTGAGAGGTTTTCCTTTAAAACCAGGAACAAGACAAGGATGCCTGCTTTCATCTCTGGTATTCACTGCTGCACTGGGAGTTTTAGCCAGAGCAATGAGGTAAGAAAAAGAAATAAAAGGTATCCAAGTTGGAAAGGATGAAGTAAAACTACCTATATTATATTTGAAGATGACATGATACATATATTTCCACATACAGAGAAAGTCCAAAATATCCCCCTACCCATACTACGAGAACTGATAAACAAATTCAGCAAAGATGCAGGGTACACGATTAACATGCAAAAATCAATTGTGTTTTTATACTCCAGCAACAAACAATCCAAAAAGAAAATTAACAACTTCATTTATAATAGCATCCAAAAGAGTAAAATAGTTAATAATAAAGTTAACCAAAGAAAAAAACAAGAGTCACTAAAAACTATAAAACCTTGCTTAAAGAATTTAAAGACATATAAATAGGAAGTTCATGGACTAAAAGATAAACATTTTTTCATATGGAAATAATATTTAAAGTAATCAACAGACTCAATATAATCTTTATAAAAATTCCAGTGGCCATTTTTGCAGAAATAAAAAGCAGATCCTCAAGTTATGTGGAATTTCAAGGGCCCTCTAATAGTCAAAACAATCCTAAAAAAGAAGAACAAAGTTGGAGGATTCATACTTTCAGATTTCAAAACTTATCATAAAACTACAGAAGGCAGAACAATGTAGGACTAGCTTAAGGATAGATACATAGGCTAATGGAATAAAATTGTGGGTTCAGAAATAAACCTATACATCTATGGCCAACTGATTTTCATCAAGGGTGCTAAGATCATTCAATGGGGAAATAATAGTTTTTTCAAAGAGTGGTGCTGGAACAACCAGATATTCACATGCAAAAGAATGAAATTGGATCCCTACCTCACACTATATAAAAATTCACTCAAAATTGATCCAGGGTCTAAATGTAAGATATCAAACCACTGAACTGTTAGAAGAAAACACATGGGTAAACTCTGGATTTGACAATGGCTCTTTAGATAAGATACCAAGTTCACAATAAAGAAAAGAAAAACTGATTAGATATAATAATGTAATTTGAAAATTTTGTGCATAAAAGGACACTATCAAAAGAATGAAAAAGCAGCCCAGAGAATGGAAGAAAATATTTATAAACCATACATCTGATAAGGGTCTAGTGTCCAGAATACATAAAAAGACAAAAAACCCAATTAAAAAATAGGCACAGGACTGAATATACATTTCTCTAAAGAATATTTACATATGGCAAACAAGTACATAAAAAGATCTCAGCATTATTAGTCATTAGGGAAATGTAAATCAAAATCACAAAATACCACTTTATAGCCACAAGAATGACTATAATAAAAGAAAAAATGAGAATAACAACTCTTTGTGAGGATGTGTAGAAATTGGAGCCCTGGTATAGTTCCTGTAAAAATGTAAAATGGTGCAGACACTGTGGAAAACAGTTTCATGATTCCTGAAAATACGAAACACAGAATTACCATATGAACTAACAATTCTACTCCTAAATATAGTCCCAAAATAATTGAAACAGGTATTCAAGCAAATACTTGTACTGAAATATTTATAGCAGAGCTATTCAAATAGCCAAAAGATGCCGTATGTGTTCAATAAAGTTGTTGTTTTATATACATACAATGGAATATTATTCAGCAATCTAAAATAATAAAGTACTAATACATACGATAGCATGAATAAACCTCACAAACAGTCTCAGTGGAAGAAACCAGGCACAAATGGTCACGTATAGTATGATTCTATTCATATGAAATATCCTGAACAGGTAAATCCATAAAACAGAAAGCTGATTGATTAGTGGTTGCTGGGGACTTAGGCTAGGGAAAAATAAGATGTGACTTCTTAATTGATACAGAGTTTCATTTTTGGATGATGAAAATATTTTGAAACTAGGTTATGTGCATGTACATTGTAAACGTACTAAATGCCACTTTAAAATGGTTAATTTTAAGTTATGTTAACTTTCCCTCTACGCTGTATGAATTCCATCTGAATTACAACTGAAATGTGAAAAATGAAAATGAGCCATGATAAGAACTTGAAAACACTTTGGCTTGGTTTACTCTGTGAGATGGAGAAAGTTATAGCACTTTCAGGGATTACATTTTGCAGCAAATTGTGTATGATTTGAACCTCCAGGGTTTAGAGGCAAAAACTCTTAAAATGCTAGTGTTCAAGAAGTAGGGAGACAGTGGAATTACTCAACAAGGAGGTCACAGTCAATACATTTTATTGACTCGGTCAGAGCACGTCTTTGTACCATTACCCAGTAACGGTCAGGGAGCATGGACGGCACAATGCAGATGTTCTCCTACTCTAAGTACATTGGTCTAGCAACTGAAAAGCAGCAGGGGGTGAGAACACAGACGTGGGAGATACTTAATGCTCTTCTCACTAGGATCTAAGAAACTTACATATTTATTTACTTGGCAAGAACTTTTGCAGAGACCTTTAGGTTTCTTTTTCTCCAATCAAATCCACTGTACAGCACTTGACTGAAGAAGGGTGATAGCACTCATCGTTTTTAACGTATGGGGTTTCAGAGTCTTATCCACAGATAGGTGCATTTGCATATATGGAAGGTTTTAAGGTGTATCATGAAATGGCTAGCATTTCAGAATGCCTGGTGTACAGATGAAAATGATTCTGCACCTGACCTTTTGATTTAGTTTTATGAAATAAGAACTATGACGTTTCACAACAGCAGCAGCATCAGAACTCACCATAAGAAAGAAATGCCATGGTTGGGACACGCCATACTCTCCTGGAAAGACAGTTTCTACATACCAGGTCACAACGCCGTACAAGAAAGCATCAACCAAAAGCATTCCCATCACATAGCCAAGTATGAGGTTATCCTCAATGTTGGCTGGTGTCCAAAGGTTATCCCACTTTAGACCAATTTCTGAAATAAAAAGGAGATATTTACCATGGATGAAAGCTCTGTGACTAAAACAGCAAAGAAAAAAGATTGCTGATACCCTAAATTTTGCCACTGTGAATTATCTATATGGTGATACCCTTAGTATGTAGATCATCTAAGAAAATAATGGAGTATGTAATAACATTGGTTTCTTCCCTCCTCCCTTAAGACCTACAAAAAATAGAAATTATTGAGACAATGCCAACAACTGAAATAAAAATAAACAACAAAAATGTCAAGAAAAAAGCAGATCTGAGACCCTATTCTTCTACTTTATCCCTCATGCTAAATAACCATCAGGATATATAAATTTGGAAAGATATTCAGCAGCACTAAAGATGGATGCTGACTACCAAGCAGAAGAGAAAAAGAAGTTTTCCTTAGATATAGTACTTGTGAAAAGGGAAAGAGGAAGTCACCAAAAGAAGATAAGTCATTCTTTATTCTTCTAATTCCTCTATTTCCAGACAGAGCGTAGCACAACTGAAAAAGCATGAGGGCTTGCAGTAAACCCCTAATTCAAAGAGGCAAGATACAAAGATGACAATGTCCCATGTAACTTGTACAGCCTTCAACATAAGCCCTCCCTTTCCTATAGGCCAGCACCATCCGAAGAATATTCACAAACACTGAGTCTTTGAGAAAGCTATGACTGTCAAAATGAAAGCCATTTTGAGGCAGGAAACAGCAAACTAGAAATCACAGAAAAAAATGAAGGTTGAATATAAATTTCAGAAAGCCTACCATAACTTGAGAAATTCTACACCCAAGCACAACAGGAGTTCCTGAAAGAAAATAAATAATTTAGAAAAGAAACAATAACAAAATAATAAAATAAAATAACCTGATAAAAACAACTCAATTTAAAAACTAAAAGTGTACATCCTATTGTAGATTAAGCCAATGAAAATCCCATATCCAGATAAATTCTAATGAATTTTTATGACTAATGCAAGTATCCATAAAGAAATCACATGTATATTATTCTAACTGGCTACCCACTGGAAGTAGATTGTCGGTCAATCCTCCTTATCCATCACTAAGTGCAACAAAATTCTCACTAAATCCCAACAAGATTTTTCACAGGATTTGACAAAGTGATCGAAAATTCAAGTGGAGAGAAAAGTGACAAGAGTAACTAAATAACAAGGTATAGGTACAAGACTAACAGATATTAAGACTTTTTTTTAATACAATAATGAATAAAAACATTGTGGTATTAACACCAAAAAATAGACTAAAAAAAAAAATCAATAAAATAGAAGAGATGACCAGAAATAGATCCATGCATATGTAAAACAAAGGTGGGATCAGAAAGTAGAGAACAAATTATCCAATAAATGACTGTAACAGCTCCATTTTCCTACTGAAAATAATAAAGTTCTTACCTTGTAATAAACAGAAGTATCAACTCTATGCTTATTGAAAACCTCCAAATAAAAATAAAAACACATAAATTTTAGAAGAAATCATAACTGTGGGTATGTAAGGGTTTCTTGGAAAAGACTGACAATTTTGATTACATTAAATCAGGGATGATAACAATGCAAGTGTAACTTTGGAAAGAAGTCCATTCCAGAAGGAAAGGCAAGGAGGAAAAGCACACTCCTCTCCCTCCAGTAGAACAGAGTGAAAGGGACAAAGAACAGGTGCATGGATCCTAGGTTTTCCTGTTTCAGGGAAACCCTGCAGAATCATTCCGGTGGTATCATGTAGAAATAGCCAACACTGTGTGATGGTGGCACTGGTACTGGCAGAATTAGGCAGCTAGATAAATGGGCCTGAAGCAGTGCTCCTGGCTCTTCATGTCTTAAAAGTCTGAGCTTGCAGAACTTTCTAAGTGTTTATGAAAGCCAAAGAGTCCCAGAGAGGGCCAGAGAGTGGCAGAGACCTGGATGAGAGAAGTAGCTAGAATCACATTTCTAACAGATGAGGTTCCAGTACATTGTGCTACATGGGCCACAAATAATCACATTTCAGCTCAGGCTAGGTACTCCACCATAGAGGCAAAGATCCAGAGAACACCACATAGATATGAGGTCCCCATTTATATCCACCATAAGAGATTCATAAATTCCCATCCATACACACACAATCTTGAAGAAAAGAAGATATATGTCTGAAAGACTGACCCATTCAGAACATGAATAAATCACTGGGTTAGACTTACATTTCTCTTCTTCAGCCAAGTATGTAGAGTTTGGAGGAAAATTGGTTATAGGAAATAAAGAAGCTATATTTGTTTTAGCTATATTAAATGAAAGTAGTATAATGTATTATTGGAAATGATGTAGAAAAACTCATGCGCTATTAGAGAAATCGATCTCTTTTTGAAGGTTATTGTAATAGCAATTAAAATTAAGTTATGAATACTTTATAAGTTAACATTTTTATACTAGGAATTTTTATATTAGTATGCATATTGTATGAGCAAATATATTTATACTTACATTGTGGGTAATAGCAAAAAATTGGAAACCACTTAAGTGTGCACTGAGAAAACTAGCTAATGATAGTACTTCTTCACAATGGAATATTATACAACTTTGTGAAAAAACAAAATGGAGCATGTCTATGTGGGAAGAGGTCTAATATATAGCATTAGGCAAATATAGCAAGTTGTAGATTAGAAAGTTTGAAATTATTTTATTTGAGAGTATAACTGGGGGTTTATTGTGTAGAGATGGGAACTTTTCATTTATCACACTTCTGATTTTTTTTTACAGTTCATATAGTTGTCTTTATAATTAATAAAAATCTGAGAATAAACAATATTTATTACATTTCTTACCTCCTCTCCCACTGTTTCAACCATACTGCCTTATTCTACTTTTCTAGGAATCAAATAGCAAAGGCAAAAATTTCAAGGCAAACACTTACCTTTTATTTCCAACTTGAGCAAAAGATTAATCCCCAGTGCCAATGCAACATTTGAGCTGAGACAAGCAGCCACCTTCTCAGTGAGGGTTATCCATCCATAGTTGTGAAGAATGTATTTAAATGGAAAGAAACTGGCAAAATACAGGAAGCTTCCAACAGAAGCAAACAAAGGGGCTGCAAATAAGGAAATTGTAAGGTCAGTTTTAAGCAATATGCAAAATAATGAATTACAAATAACTTTTATACTACAATAAAGGAATAGAATGTAAGCAATATGAGGGAAGGGAATCTATATTTTTTACCCTTGTATCACCAATGTCTGGTACATTGTATATACTCAGTAAGTATGTGTTGAATGAATGAACAAATGCATAGTGTTAATTTATAAGACATTTGCCACATGTGATCCATATTTTCAGTCATTTAGGGCTTCCAGTTAAGAAGGCAGACTACGTAAATGCCATACTCATCCCACAACCACATCAAAATTACAACTAAACTACAGAACAATCATCATTCAGAACTGCCTGAAATCTAGCTGAATGGAAGTCCTACAACTAAGGATACAAAGCAGCAGCCACATTGAGACTGGTAGGAGGGACGGAGACAGGGAATGTGCTGGTCTCACACCCATGTGTGGCGGGTAAAAATTAAGAGGAACATCTCGGCTGCAGAGATCCTCTCTGAGGAGTGAGGAGTCCGAGCCCCACACCAGGCCCTCAGCCCAAGGTTCCAGTGTCAGGAAGAGAAGTCCCCATAACTTCTGGCTGTAAAAACTAGCGGCTGAGTGAGGCAGAGGGGCTGCTGGAGTCTCAGACAGTTCATCTTAAAAGGCCAGCACAGGAACTTAACCTCATTTCCTCAGCTCCAGTTTTGGGGCAGCAGCTTGAAAGGTACCAAGGGCATATGGAAAGGAAATGAACTGTCTGGCATCAGGACCAGAGCTGGAGGGGCAGCTTTCTCCTAGACAGAAGTGCTGGCAGAGGTTATTGTTCCTTCTGAGCCCTTCTGCCTCAGAACCAGCAGGTGGATGCCATATCTGAGTCTCTATCAACCTGGCTATCACTGTTCATCTCACCCTGATGACTTCCAGAGACCCCACCACATCCAACTTGTGGGCCCACTCATGCTGTTTCCAGTGCCTTTTTCACACAAATGTCCTATCTTGGCTCCTGTTTCAGACACTCCTAAAATCTCTCAAACAACCAGCATCTGACCTCATATATCTCGCTAAGTGGCCCCAGATCCAGACTAGCAATAGCCAGAGATGGTTCAAAGCATGGCCTCTCCTGGGAACCTTTAAACCGAGCATAAGTAGTAGCCACCTACAGATCACTTTGTAGTTCATGCTGGGCGGCCTAGGGCAGAACACAGGTGGCAGCTGACCTTGGCCTGCACCTCCTGGGAGGCCCCAGAGCCAGCTCACCCAGTGGACAGCTTCAGACCATGTCAAAGCACCATCCAACCACCTCCATAAGCAACACACCCAAGGGGGTGACTCAGCAGGCACCACAGCCCTGCTAAGCTAAGTCCTCCTCTGAGGGGTGGGCCACTGCACAGCTGATCCTCTACGATGCTTACAGCCACTCCTTACAGCTAATCTGTCTGAGGATAAATCCCTCCCAATGAATTGCAAACATCATCAAGGCTCAACTACAACAGGAGGGTGTACACAGCCCACATGAAAGGGGGATTTGAGTGTCCAGCCCAGGTGAACAAAGAGGCTGTGCTACTTGATGCTACAGGACACTTACTACATCAGGCCTCTCAACCAAGTCCATGATACATAGCAGTTCGACCTAGTACATAGAAACAAACACAGAGAGGCTGCCAAAATGAGGAGACAAGGAAACATGTCTCAAATGAAAAAAACTGAACAAAACTCCAGAAAAAGAAAAAATCAAAATGGAGACAAGCAATCTACTAGATGCAGAGTTCAAAACACTGGTTATAAAAATGCTTAATGAACTTAGTGAGAACTCCAACAGCATAAACAAGGATATGGAAACCATAAAAAGGAACCAATCAGATATTAAGGCTACACTAACTGAAATAAAAAATAATTTACAGAAAATCAACAGTAGAGTAGATGAAGCTGAGAATCAAATCAGAGATATGGAATATAAGAAAGCAAACAAACAAACAAAAACACAAACAAACCAAAAACCACACCACACCCCAATTAGAACAAAAAGAAAAAAGAATCCCCCAAATGAGGACAGTGTAAGGAGCCTCTGGGAAAACTTCAAGAATACCAATATTTGTATCATGGGGAAGCCAGAAAAAGAAGAGAGACAGCAAGAAATTGAAAACCTATGTAAAAAAAAAATAATAATGACAGAAAACTTCCCTAACATAGTAAAGGAAACAGACATACAAGTGCATGAAGCACAGAGAGTCCCAAACAAGAGGAACCCAAAGAGGCCCACACCAAGACACGTCATAATGAAAATGTAAAAGGTTAAAGACAAAGAGAGAATCTTAAAAGCAGCAAGAGAAAAGCAATTAGCTGCCTACAAAGAAGCTCCCATAAGGCTGTCGGCTGATTTCTCAACAAAAACTTTGCAGGCTAGAAGAGATTGGCAAGAAATATTCAAAGCGATGAAAAGCAATGACCTACAACCAAGATTACTCTACCCAGCAAAGCTATCATTTAGAATTAAAGGACAGATAAAAAACTTCCCAGACAAGAAAAAGCTAAAGGGGTTCATCACCACCAAACCAGTATTATAAGAAATGTTAAAGGGTTTTCCTAATGAAGAAGAAAAAGAAATGATAAAACTATGAATAAAATGGCAATAAATACGTATATATCAACAATTAAATATAAAAAACAAAATAAATGAACAAGCAGAGCAGAAACAGACTCATAGATACAGAGGACATTTTGACGATAGATGGGAGGGAGGTTGGGGGGATGCATGACAAGGTGAAGGGATTAAGAGGTAAAAATTGGTGATACAGAATAGTCATGGGGATGTAAAGTACAGCATAGGGAATATAGACAAAAATATTCTAATTAACTATATACAGTTTCAGATGGATACAAGATTTATCAAGATGATCACTTAGGAAGTTATACAGGGTGTCCCCACAAAAATGTATACACACTTTAACAGCTCATTTTTTATCTTTATTGTCGAAAGTATTACAAATGTCCTCCCTTTTCCTCCATTGGTCCCCTTCACCCAGCACCCCTTCCCTGAGGTCTTCACCATACTATTGTCTGTGTTCATGGGTTATACATATATGTTCTTACATTACTCTCTACCCCACCCCACCCCGATTTCCATCTAAGATTCTTCAGTCTGTTCCATGCTTCTATGTCTCTGGAACTAGTTTGTTCATTAGTTTATTTTGTTCATTATATTGCACATATGAGGGAGATCATGCGATATTTGACTTTCTCTGATTTGCTTATTTTGCTTAGCATAATACTCTCAACATCTCACCATGCTGTCTCAAAGGGTAAGGGGTTCTTTTTTACAGCAGAACAGTATTCCATGATGTAAATGTCCAAGAAAATGCCTGATATGATTTCAATCATCTTGAACTTGTAGAGACTTGTTTTGTGTCATAACATGTGGTCTATCTTTGAGAATGTCCCATGTGCACTTGAGGAGAATGCATATTCTGCAGCTTTGGGGTGAAATGTTCTGTAAATGTCAATTAAATTCACCTGACCTAATGTATCTTTTAGAGTAACTGTTTCCTTGTTGATTTTTTTCTGGAAGATCTATCCAGTAAAGTCAGTGGGGTGTTAATGTTCCCTACTGTGACTGTATTGCTGTGAATCTCTCCTTTAAAGTCCTCCAGAAAAAATTTCTTTTCAGTCTGTGTGTTTTTTGTTCTGAGGTGGGTCTCTTGTAGACAGCATATATTTGGGTCAAGTTTCCTTATACATCCTTGTTTCTCATTCTCTCTATTTCAACTTCTTATTACAGCAGTTCCTTTTAACATTTCCTGCAATGATAGTTTGGTGGTGATAAATTCCTTTAGCCTTTTTTTTGTGTGTGTGTGTGGGAAGCTCTTTATTTCAACATCTATTTTGAATGATAGCCGTGCTGGATACAGTAGTCTTGGTTTCAGATTCTTGCTTTGCATTACCTTGAATACTTCATTCCATTCCCTTCTGGCCTGTAGTTTCTGATGAGANTTTGAATGATAGCCTTGCTGGATAGAGTAGTCTTGGTTTCAGATCCTTGTTATGCATTACCTTCACTACTTCATGCCATTCCCTTCTGGCCTGTAGAGTATCTGATAAGAAGTCAGCTGACAGCCTTATGGGAGCTCCTTTGTAGGTAACAGATTGCTTTTCTCTTGCTGCCTGTAAGATTCTCTCTTTGTCTTGAAATTTTGGCATTTTAATTATGATGTGTCTGGGTGTGGGCCTCTTTGGGTTCTTTTTGCTTGGGACTCTCTGTGCCTCCTGAACTTGTGTGACTTTTTCCTTCACCAGGTGAGGGAAGTTTTCTGCCATTATTTCTTCAAACAAGTTCTTTAACCCTTGCTTATATCCTACATCTTCTGGCACTCCTATGATGCAAGTATTGTTACATTTCACGTTGTCCCATAGCTTCTTTAATCTGTCCTCCTGTTTTTAATCTTTTTTTTTTTTTTTTTGGTCCTCTGATTGATTTTTGTACCCTGCCTTCTAATTCACTGATATGATCCTTGGCTTCCTCTAATATGCTGTTTATTCCTTCCAATGTTTCTTTCATTTCTACTCTGTCGCTCTTAATTTCCTTCATAGTTTCCACTTTTTTCTTATGCTGTTGAGCATCCTTATGATCAGAATTCTAAACTCTGTTATCTGATAGATTGCTTATCTCCATTTCATTTAGCTCCTCTGGAGAATTCTTTTGGTCTTTCATTTCAGGCTTGTTTTTTGTCTCTCCATTTTGGCTGCCTGTTTGGATTTGTTTCTATGTATTAGGTAGATCTGCTAGGACTCCCAGTCTTTTGCATGGTCTCTGGTGTAGGCCAGTGTCAGACACTGTTTGTGAATGGTCTTGAGTACCTTGCTTGAAGCGTTCTGCACTGCACAGCTTGTAGTTCCCTCGGCTGGGGCTGGGGAATGGGGGCTGGGTGTCTGACAGCACAATTTTGAAAATGAAATGTATTTATTAAACAATGCCTTTATAACTATTTAAAGTGTGTTTATGAATTTTTGG